ATCGACTTCTTATGTATTTATTTATATCTAACAACTATATTCTTATGTTTATTCATATAACATCATAGTTCCTAAATCATATGAAAGACATCACTAACATTCACTTATTTAAATTGAATGCACATTTTCATGCAGATTTTTTTATTTGATTTAATTACTAGGGTGTTGTTATATAATCAAATGTAAATATTTATGTGTTAGATATGTAAATACATAAGAATTCTATGGTTTATATGTAAATCCTCTGACTACAAATTGTTTATGTACTCTCTATTGGAGACATTTGTTTTAATACCTTATATTCTCTCTCTTGCATTATTCAAGAGGACATTGCTCATTTTTTCCATGAATGTGGTTATTTCTCTAAAGCCTTGTCTACTGTCCTATTTAAGAATTTTTTTCTATCATGATCTACGGATCTATGGCGCTTTTAGTTTCTTGATATTAAGACAAACTCTTTTCTTGGTGATGAACTATGGTGAAAGAATTATGGCATTTGGATTGGTTTGGATGGAATTGGAGTTAGGAAGGATTTGGCAAAGATTTAGTCTTGATGAGGGATTTATTTGTAGTTTCTGTAGGGTTGGCCGAGAGGTGATCAAAAGGAGGGATTTATCGATAGGTCTTGTTGTGTGTTGATGTAGGTTCAAGTACGATTTAGGTTAGGTGAGGCCGGGAGGAGTAAGGGATTTGGTAAGTTTAAGTATATATGCTCACTCAAGATGCTTTGTATATCAATGCCTTGTCAAGGTGGAAGATGATTCAACCATGGTTTGATCTTATGATGGATTGCTTCGATCAAGTGTACAAGTGATTTATACTCCATGTTTATGCATGGTATCCCAAATTGATTAGAAATTTAAAATAACTTCATTGAACTTGTGAAGTTCATACTTTTAACTTCTGGATTTTAAACTTACAGAAGTTTCATTATTTTCTTAAAATTATTTTTTCATCATTGAAAATATTTTCAACATTTTGTAAAATAAAAATTATTTATTCGGAAATTTTTTAGTAAAAATAAGACTTAGCACGGTTTAAAATTGCGAAATCAGAAATTGAGGTATGTTGCCTAAGCGAGGCAAAGTGTAGGTCTCAGGCAGATCGATGTGTAACCTACCAAAATAGAAGAACTAAAATTTTATAAAATTAAAATTACCTATAAGAGGAGAATTAATTAAATATTCTATACAAAATAATCTTAAAAAATTCTCGTAAGCACATTTTTAAAAAGAATAATCTAGAAAAAAAACGTCTTTCATGCGCCTCGATTTGAGTCTCTCTTGAGGTGCGCGCCTTATTTTTTTTAAGTGATGATTTAATAAAATAGATAATTTTAAAATACTACAAATTAATTTTTGTTTATTGCTTTTTTTTAATTTAAATGTAATGATAATTTATTTTAAACTATTGAAATTAACTTATATCAACTGAGAATAATATATTTTAAGCAAATAATATATGTGAAATATTTTTGTGTGCTCTATTAAGTTTTATATATATTTTAAAAATATATCACTATATGAGATTGAAATGTATCAAGCCTCATTTTAAACCACTGAATTACTTATAAATAAATTCAATTAATTTTTTTTAAATACCAAACATTGTTTTAATTAAGATTTATATAATGGTCTGAAAGTGAATTTTAATTTGAAAATCCCTTGTTTTTAATATAAATTATATGCATATGCTTGAAAATGTTTTTCTGACATCAAAATCAGCAAACTAAATCAATAATTTGGATTCCAAATAATGAGGTTTTGCTACAAATTTCAATTAGTTTGGATTATAGTCGTAGATCATGGTCCAACCAATGGGTTTAGTCATTGGACACATCTTATGGTTATACTAGATTGGAATTAGTGTGTTTGATACTAATCAAACCATAGCCAGATCTTGAATTAATCAAACAATGATGAGATTTCCTAAATCAAGATTGACAAGGTAAATTCAGTGGATGCCTTTCATTAAAATGGATGTATTTGGTACCTTCCTCGAGTGATCCAAGGCAATGTCTCTGCCGGTTGGATGCATTTGATGCATAAATGAATATATCTAATTAAAAATATATGGATATGTTGGATAAAAAATCATGCTAATACCACACTTTCAAGGAATTTCTTGGTAGAGTTATAATTATTGTAGTAATTCAAATGATCATGATAAATATGTTACAAGTTAGCCTTGGTTTGCACTTGGTTTGTAAATGGTGGAGTGTTTCTAATTGTGGGAGCTTTCTATAGAAGATTGCTCCATCTAATAGGGGACTTGAATATATTATCCAAATGTATATAAGAAGAATGTTTGCTAGTCATAATGAATGATAAACTATTGAGATTGTAAAATGTCAAGCACAATGAAAATAGGGATAAAAATATGTTAGGAGATAAATTTAAAAAATTATTAAGTTCAAGATTCCTATGTAGCATCTTGCTTTTTATATTTACAAAATTGGGGGACTAAATGTAAGATTAAATATAATAAATATTATTTTATTTTAAGTTGAATTGTTGAAAAAGTACTTTTAACAAGTTTACTCACATTTATGTTCATGTACCGTATATAAATGAAGATTATGAATACCAAGTGCTAATGAAAATGCAATCATACATTATGAATGATTTCTATTCTGATTTAGGTACTGAATGAGGTACAATAAATTTAACAATGGAGACTTAAAAGTATGCTTTAAGTTAAGATGCATGACATTCGAAGAATGTAACTCATCAACTAGCTTAGGAAGGTGCGTGTCAAATAAATCAGGTTGGAAAGGTGAGACCTCAATAGGCATGTGATTATTTAGAGGCAATAATTCATCATCTTACTCAAGAAGGTTAGTGTCATTAGTCCAATATATGATGTATCATATAAGATAAGATGGAGATCTATGATGTCAACATATCTGTGCATCTCAGGAGGCATTTGTGTTCTAGAACACGCATTAGTGTACTCACTTGCTGATGTATTAAATAACTCATTCAAATGACAGTAGAGCTTAGCAGGTATGGAAATGATTTAAATTCCCAGCAAGAGAAGTCTTAACGGGTAATTCATTGTTGGTTGTATCAGTTAAGTCAGATAGATGTCTGAGACCACAATATGCATGCATACATATCTTTGAAAGTAAAGGTGAAAATATCAGCAGTTAACTCTCTATAGGATATGCACGGTGACCCTCAACAAGTGAACACTTCTTTTTTTTGGAAGGATAGTTTACATAGAAAAGTATTTCCTTATTTATTTTCAATATAATCACAATAATTAAAACATCAAATGGGTAAAAAATGATTAGCAGAAGAGCGGAGATAGGGGCTAAGATCATTAAAATGATTGTTAGGATAGATAGAGGGATAGGATCATTAAAGTATATATCTAAACAATAGTAGTTACTAAGGGGTCAATAATGAGTCATGACATTAATTGGAGTTTCGTATTGTCTTTGAGTTTGGCGGTAATTTTGAGGTCAAAGCTAGCTTATGACTAGTTTGGAATATCTCACCAACCACTGGCTCGTAAGTGAAGAATTTTATTATTTTTATTTCGTATTGGGTATTATATTCAAGTTTGGAGCAGATGGTAGATGGTTGGGGAAGGATGTATAATAAATTATAAATAACTTTTGAGTGAAAAAAGGATGGTACCAAGATATTCTCATATTGATGGTACCTTCCCATATTGATTGAAATGGATTTTATTTATCTATGCTATCAAAATGATAAATCATAGAAGGTGATTGTGGAGGGATGAAATGGTGAAGAATAAAACATCACGAAACTTATTATGGAGGGTAGATTATAAGTAAAAATATGGTTAGTTTGCTAATCATTTACCTAGAAAGCCTAATTATTCTATAAAGTCATTCACTCAAGATGCGTATGAATGCGCATCGACCAACCATGTGGTTGAATGGAGACAATAGGAGTGAATATTGCCTTACTCCAATTGTCAGAGAGAATAGTTCGAATTTTATCAATACACGAGCGAGATTCCCTAATAACTATGTAATTTGAATCTTGAAGTTCATTAATAATAGATTTCATTTGTTTGACTCCATAATTTATTCTTATAACTCTTTTGATTTTTAATTTTTATTTCATTTTACATCTTAAATTGAGGAAATGAGAGATAATAATACATTAGTCAAAATCTTTCATGAAGATATTATAGTCAGAGAGAGGAAGTGCCACCACATATAAAAGTGAGAAACTGGCCGAATTTGTCAATGCATGGACTTAAAGAGCTCAGAAATAACATTAGTGATTCAATTTTGATTGTAAATGTATGAAGAGTGTTCCTAGTTCTTTCTCCATTGCTCTTCTTTTTTTGTTTTATTTCTGCTTCATTCTGTATCTTTTGGTTACGGTTAACTTAATATATTTCTGAGTTCTACTTTTTCTAGTTTTAGTTTGTCGGTTTATGAGCCTTAGCTAACTAAATTTTCTCTGGATTCATATGCATTATTATTATTTTTTTTTATTTGAAGACCTATGCTCCACCTAAAAAAATAAAATATAAAAAAATAAAAAATCTCAAAGTATAACATGATCAAATTCAACAAATTACTTATTCTACTAAATGCAAACTATTTTAATCATATAAATTGCTTCAGGTAATGGGCTGACCCTTTATGGACATGTTGGATCAGTTTATGTTGGCTACCAGTCATAAAAGTGGGTATAGGATCATTCTGAGGAGCTATCTAATGTGCTTATTTATACCTCTTATATAGATTTTTAAAAGGAATGGCTTGAGGTTATTATACGAGCTTCGGTCATCCCCAATGCGCCTAACAATTCGAGTACCACACCCTTCACCGGGGGGAATAAAACCCCAGACCAGAGGGAACTTATAACTGATAAGCAGATAACCGACCAACTGATCTGAGTCCGTGGCACGCGCACGCGCGCGCGCACACACACACACACACACACACATTTTAGCCGCACTAAAATATATTTGAAAAACTAAAATCTCATGTAATATATTCATGTTCTTAGGTGATGGCTTCGTTACTTCTCTACCGGCAGATACTGGACGAGATTGAAGCAAATGGTTACGACAATTTCGCAAAAAGGGCATATGTGAGCAAAGCAAAGAAGTTGATAGCACTGCCAATAGCTTATGGAAGGTCTATCCTGAGGCCATCACGGAAGAAGCCAGCTATTGTAAAACCATGAATTTTTTTCTAAATTGTTTCATACAACCTTAAGAGTATGTAATACATAATTGGTACATATGTATCTGCATTTAGGTTGCTCATATCATAGTGATATGCTTTGTAGTTCGTAAATTAGCAGCCAAAAAAAAAAAAGTTGCATAAGATAAAGTGATATAAATTAGTTGCTGGAATAAAGGTTTCTTAACATTTTCTTTTTCAGAAAGTTCATATGGTGATTATGCTCAGATATGGCACTGCACTTGCATGACTGCGATTTGACTCATTACTCGGATAATTCTTTCGTCGAAGACTTAAGAAAGCTCCTTGTTGTCTCTTGACAATCTGTATATTTACAGCAACAAATTTTTAGCAGTTTTATATTTAGAAAATTATACATTTTGCATGCGAAAAAGTTATGTAGAAAATGAATCTCAATCATCTCATGCTATTCTATGATTGTCCCGATTGGATTGGTTAAAGCTCAGTAGGGTAGAGCATCATATATATTAAACAATATGATTAAGTTGCATGTAAAACTGGGATGCAAGTATGAAAGAAAATAGTCATGATGAATATAATGTGATGGCATTTGTCTAAAATGAGATGATTGCGACACAATTAAAATGTGGGTTTGAAAGCTAAAAGGCTAACACCCAATAAGATTATGATGAATGTAATGTGGTGCCATTGGCATTTGCACTTATCCTACAAAAAAAAGTATGTAGGTTGTAACCTTTTCTTATTGCTAGTGGCTTTTTATATCGGAGATTACCTTGGTATGGACATAGGCTATGTAATTTATTTTTTTACAAATTCACTTAAAATTTCTTGTGGTTTTACTTTTATAGATAATTTTTATTCTTCAATTGGCAAAAACTTCGACTCAATATCTTGTTAAATAACCTAGAGTTAAAGATTCATCTTACCAAGACACCTTAATATGCTACTTTTTCTTAAGGTTATAATATTCACCACCTTTTTTGATAAAATTAGATTTGAAATATGAAAATCTAGATTCATAACATCCTCGCATAATATTGATTTTTTAATTGTGGCATATATACTTGAGTGATACTTTGTCTTGTCTTCATGAGAAAAAAGTTAATTATTTTAAACAAAAAAATTAATAAATATTTTCATCATATTACTCTGTCTTAAGTTTTTTCAAATGTATCATTGTTTACATTTGAAAAAAATATACCTCATGTTCTCTTCTGTTTGTATTGCTTTACATTTGAAAAAGTATACCTCATGTTCTCAAATCAACAATCAAGTCAATCACACCGATAACTATGGGTTGTCTCCTACAAAGAGTTTGGTTTAAAGTCGTCAGCCCGACATATCTAATGTTTTAATCAGGTTGACCCAACATTAAGATCTTCTCAAATGAAGGGCTATCTTCACTCGTATAAGCTTTTAACATGTGTCCATTTACCTTAATTATCCTTCTAGTCTTAAGATCATTAATATCAACAATTCCATTTGGATAAACTTTTACCACATTAAATAGTCTTGACCACCTGAATTTTAGTTTTCCCGAAAATAATTTCAATCTTGAATTGTATAATACAACTTCTTGTCCAGGCTTGAAATGTTTTTTCAGAATTCCTTGATCATGCCTCATTTTCATTTTCTCTTTATAAATTCTTACATTCTCATAAGATTCATTCCACATCTCGTCAAGCTCATTTAATTGCAAAAATCTTTTTTCTCTAGTATCTTTCAAATTATAATTAAACTCTTTTGTTGCCTGATAAATTTTATGTTCTAATTCAACAGGCAAATGACAAGTGTTTCCAAATATGAGTCTATATGATGACATTCCTATAGGAGTTTTGTAAGCAGTCCTATATGCCTATAATGCAGAATCAAGTTTAGCAGAGCAATCTCTTCTGTTATGATTTATAATCTTTTCCAATATTCTTTTAATTTCTCGATTGGATACTTCTGTTAAACCACTAGTCTGAGGATGATAAGCTATGAAAAATCGATGTTTGATTCCATGTTTTTGAGTTACTATTTCAATTATTTTATTCTTAAAATGACTTACCCAGTCTGTAATGATTACTCTCCGCATTCCAATTCATGTAAAAAAATTTTCCCTTAAAAATTTTGCAACACTTTTAGTATCACACCGAGGTAAATGAATCACTTCAATCAATTTTGAAACATAATCCACAGCTATTAAAATATAAATTTTTCCTGAAGATGGTATAAAAGTTTCCATAAAATCTAAACCCTAAAAATAAAAAATTTCAACTTCAAAGTAAATTTAGGGGCATTTCATTTCTTTTCAAAATATTATATATTCTTTGACATCTATCACATGTTTTTATATAATTATTAATATCCCTAAACAGTGTAGGCCAATAAAATCGAGATTGCAAGATTTTAAATGCAGTTTTTTTAACCCCAAAATGCCCTTCAAAATCAGATTTATGACACTTTTGTATAATTTCTTAGGTTTCTTCAATTGGTACACATCTTCAAATAATTAAGGGCCTGTTTGAGGCAGCTTATTTGGTGCGGTGACGTTTTGAAAAGACACCTGACCTGTTTGGGAAAACTCTGTTTTGGCAGCTTATGCGTTTTCAAAACGCAGAAAACAACATTTTCACACCGCACCTATCTAGGTGCGGTGGCAGCTTATTGGTAACTGTCTGGCTTTTCCAAAAAAATAAAAATTGGTAATAGCCACCGCACCTAGCTTATCAGTAGATTATTTTTAATCAGTTTATCAACAGATTAGATTATTCTTATTCAATAAACTACAGTTGCCCCAAACAGACCCTAAGTCATTCCATTGTTTATATAAATAAGGATCATCTCAAAAATAATATTTAGAATCCTGAATGAACTTTTTAGTTTGATGGCCATCAAGTCTTTAGGGTAAAATATTACTAATTAAATAGTTTACCATGTCAGCATACTGATCCTAATTTTATGTGTCAATACAATGTATGCAGATATATTCTAAAATTTTTCTTATAATTCTTATTTTGCAATGGCGCCAAAAACTTGATCCCGAGTAACGACTAGGCAAAAACTTGACTTCGAAGCAAATAAGAATGCTATTATTATATATTTAAATATGAGATACTATGCAAGTATATGTATCGTTATCAAGTAATATATGACTTTTTGATTAAGCCCCAAATATCAAACCCACAGGGACAGAAACAATATGCAACTAAAATCAGAAGTAATTAGATAAGAAATTCTACTTAGCAAAATATTCTTACTAAAACTATAGATGCAATAATAAGAATGAAAGTTCGATTCTTTTTGTAAATTTTTGATAATTGAAAGCAAAGTAAACAACTAACTAAATTTAACTAGATATGTAAGATGAAGACAAAATAAATGAAATATATTTTTCCTTATAATGAATCAATACCAAGTGTAGGAATTCTGTTGTGGAAGTATTCAAATTGTGTTGTGCCTCGTAGGAGCAATAATATTCTTTAACCTTACTAGAGATGCTATAAAGAACATTGGCTAATTTAAAGTTTGAATAATCTTGAAGACAAGATAGGTAGGGAAGATAATAGCTCTCACTATAGAGTTCCATCTTTTCCCTCCACATGGGGGCTAACATCTCGTATCAAAACCTAAAACTATAAATCAAATTAGGGGCTTTAGCCTGTCACTCTGAATTTCTATAATTCTATACCCTTTAAAGTTTATTTCCCTATTTATTTGCACTCAATCATATTAATTACATTCTCATCCATACAATTTCATGTGATTCTTACCATTTGTTGACTGAGACAATACCATCTCTGGTTTTACATGTTCTCACAACAAATATTAATATTTTAATTGGCCAAATCAAGAAGTAAATGAAGTATAAGGTTTAAAATCATCACAACTTAATACTTCACACAACTTCCATCCAATACTTAATCACTTATCATTTTAAGGAAAAAGATAAAGAAAACTACTCAGAATTCAAGAAGAAAACAAAACCACAATTAAGTTTGAAAGTAGAAATCATGCAAACAAACAAGAAGTCTAAATTAAAACCAAATTTAGTCACAATGATAAAAACTTATCTCAAATCATCTCCATCAAAATCTTGAAGTTCCTTTGAATCTCTTCTTTCACTTACAATACAAAATAAAACTTAAAAGAAAAATAAAAGGGGGTCGTGGTGTGTGTGGGTGACTGGAAGGGGGTTGGTGATTGATTGGCAAGAGAGAGAGTTCTTCAATCCAAATCTTCTTTATAATTTTCCAAAAGGTACCTTGGTGTCTCTTCAAACTGTTTCCACATTCAATGAATCTTTCAAGAGTTGCCACCTTTCAAAAGCCAATTGCATGTATTTTCGTGTCCATTAACTATTTCCCACGTTTTCACCAAGGGTTGCTTCAAACATCTCTTTAAGAACTCGTTCAAATTCATTGAATTGCCAAATAAGTACTTCTGGCGCTTAAGCGTGAGGTACTAGGCGCTTAGACACAGTCTTCTCTGTTTTACTGGGGTGTAAGTGCCAGTTCTGGGCGCTTAGGCGTCATAGTTCTTTTGCACGCCTTCTTCATTTTTGCTCCAAAATTTATCCTTTTTCTCTCATTTCATCATTTTTCATCCATTTGATTGTACCTGAATGAAAAACACACAAATACCTTCCATTAAAGTGCAATATCTCAAAAATAGGTATAAAAATGTGTACATAAAGACTATATATTTTAGATGTATTAAAATCCCCCAAACTTAAAATGTTACTTGTCCTCAAGTGGCACTTCAATCTTTCAAAACCAAAATAAAAAGATTATGTAAATGAGTTTCTTTAGGATATTCTAAAATTTTGATCTTGAAATATAGTGGTCCAATTTAGGAAAAAAACATTAGTACATGAGACCAACTTAGAGTTTTTAAAAAATTTTTAATGTAAAGAATTCTAAAAATATGAGTTTCTATCTAGTTTAGAAATAATTGTAAATTTTCCAAATATAGAATTTAGGCATTCTATCTTCTCTAGTTAAAAATTTTTATTAAGAATAATTATACTTACTATATTATATCCTTAAGCTTAAGAGTTTATCAAGTCTTTTACTTTAAAAGGATTAGATGTGGAACCAATTTTTGATTACGCTCTAAACCTCAAGCTTCTCCTCCCTTTTCCAGTTCTTTTTTTTCTTAGGTGAGGATTACTATAACTGGATAGACTTTTAATGATTTTGAA